GTAGATCCCACCATGGAGTTGATTGCCAGTCTCATCATGGGGAATAACTACCACCAGCTGCCCAGCCACTCAACCAGGCCCAAACAAGTTGACACACAACTTTAACTACCACAGGGGTGAGTGGAAGAGAGGGATCACTTTGTTTTTTCAGATGTCCTGAAAGACAGGTGTTCTCCACATAAGCATTTGGAGCTTGATATACTCTGGGGCTTTTGTCAGTGTTTACCTTCATCAGTAGGAGTTTGTCACTTTAAGGCAAAAACCAGGAAGTGAAAAGTGGATGGGGAGGGGCGGGAGGGATGGAGAAATGGGGGCCTCTCTGCCTGCAGAGGTCTTAGTGAGCGTGCTGGCAACTACAGTTGAAAAATAGAGCTGTCATAGGATTAATTTTTTTCTTTCCAACACATGTTCAGTCCACGCTTTATTCCCAGGTGGGGCGGAAGAATAAGCGCTGCTGAGTGCAGGGGGTGTTGACTGAAAGGAGGTGGAGCAGAACAGCTTCTTCCCATTCGCTGTTGCTGTTGTTTGCAAGCTGTCAGCTTTATCCTAGCTTGCAAACAACCAAAAGTTCAGCGTTGCTTCTAGATTGCAGCTGGAGGATCTGCCTGGTGCTGCAGCAGACAGCGAGTTCGGGTACCACAGGCCATTCCTAGCTCTGGGTCTTGCGGCGTAGGCTACCTCCGCCCCTGAGCGCAGCAATTCCCTGGTTCTAACAGAGCAGCAGAATCTGGTATCTCCAAAGGCATCTCTTGTAGCATTTGGATGTCATAGTCAATGCCTTCCCCAAGAAGTGTTAACTGATGTTTAGGTCGTTTTTGTTTGTGTGTGTGCTTTTGTTTTACTTTTTTTTTTTTTTCCCCCCAGAACAAGTGGCTTTGACTCAGCCCAGTGAAGATCTCTGAAGACCATGACCAAGAAAAGAATCGCTGTGATTGGGGGAGGAGTAAGTGGGCTGACTTCTATCAAGTGCTGTCTGGAAGAAGATTTGGAGCCTGTCTGCTTTGAAAGGACTGATGACATTGGAGGACTGTGGAGGTTCCAGGTAAATCCCCTGTTCCCTTAATATTTGGAATCCTCCCTGAAACTAGGTGCAAGAGGTTTTTTTTTTTTTAACCTAGTATCATGGCATGTGATGGCTTGATAGTAATTAAACCTGCTAGAATTCCATGTTAGTTCAGTTCTCCCTTTTCTTTCTGGCCCCAGCCACAAGAATTCTGACCTGCTTCTCAGCAACCTTGAACTTCGGTTCCATGAAGTTCCTTTTTCCCTAGGATGGCTGCAAAACAGCCAGATTTCACTTGTTTTTTCTTTTCTGTTGCTTCTGAAATTGCCACAGAGACCATTCTCATTTAAAGGGTTTTGCTGCTATTCAGGAAAGGGTAACAATGTCGCAGTAATGATAATAAACACTAGAAAACACACAGTGGTCAGAACAATGAGGGTGCTCCTGGTCTGTTTTAATAGGTAAATTGTCAAGAATTACCTACAGTAATTCCCTCCCAGGAATCCTTTTCAATCTTCTGTTAGCTTTTTGTCGTCTTTGAACACTAGTTCACTTTAAGTGGTTCTCTGACAACTCTACATCCTTATATGAAATATAAAATCTAGGCTTGTTTGAGTATTTCCTTTCCTTGAGAAACTAGTAGGCAGCTGTCTTCAGTAGAAGGCAAAGGGTATGTGCAACTGGGTTTTCTTGTCTTTGCATCTATGAAGTTGTTTTGGTTTTTTTGGTTTTTTGTTTTGTGGTGTTTTTTTTTAAATAATAATTTGAGGTGAAAGTTTACACAGCAAATTACATTCCCCTTTAATAATTGTTAAGGGGTTCTGATGGTGCAGTAAGGAGCTCTGGTCATTTAGTGCTTAAGGCATTTGGCTACTAACCAAAAGATCAGTGGTTCAAACCCACCACTCCACAGAAATAAGATGAGGCAGTCTGCTTCTGTTAAGATTTATAGCCCTGGAAACCCAATGGTGGTCACTATGAGTCGGAACCAACTTGATGGCAGTGAGTCTGGTTTTTTGGTTTAGTGGTGCAGTAGCTAAGGCATTCAGCTACTAACCAAAAGGTCAGTGCTTCAAACCTATCAGTCATTCTATGAGAGAAAGACAAGGCAGTCTGCTTTCGTAAAAAATTACAGCCTTGGAAATCCTATGGGCGGTTCTACTCTGTCCTGTAGGGTCTCAGTGAGTTGGAATTGACTCAATGGCAGTGGGTTTGATTTTGGTTTTAAAAATTTTTATACAGATTGTTCAGTTCCATTGGTTGCAGTTTTCACAATGTGTCAGCATTCTCATTATTTCCATTCTGTTTATTCTATTTCCATTGATCCAACTTCTCTTCCCTTCCTTACCTTCTCATCTTTGCTTTTGGGTAATTGTTGACCATTTGGTTTCATGTAGTTTTTTAATGAAGCAGTGATATGGTTTATTTTATAAGCCAATCTATTATTTGGCTGAAAGGTGACCTACAGAAATAGCTTCAAGTCCAAGTTCAAAGGGTATCTTAGGGCAATAGTCTCAGGGGTTCCACAAGTCTTTAATTGGTTCAGTAAGTCTGTTCTTTGTTAGAAATTGAAGTTTTCTTCTGCATTTTTCTCCCATTCTGTCTGGGACCTTCTATTGTGTCTCTGGTCAGAACAGTTAATAGTGGTAGCCTGACACCATCTAGTTCTTCTGGTTTCAAGTTAGATAAGGCTTTGGTTCATATGGGCTATTAGTCCCATGAATTAGTTTTACATGTACTAAGTCTGTCAGTTTGTCATACTGTAGTGGCTTGTGCGTTATTATGATGCTGGAATTTATGCCACTGGTATTTCAAATACCAGCAGGGTCACCCATGGGGGACAGGTTTCAGTGGAGCTTCCAGACTAAGACAGACTAGGAAGAAGGATGTGGTGGTCCATTTCTGAAAAAAAAATTGGCCACTGAAATCCTCGTAGAGAGTCAGTGAGAAAAGGAAGACCTTCGATGAGATGGGTTGACACAGTTGCTTCAGTGATGAGCTCAAGCATAACAACAGTTGTGAGGATGGCACATGACCGGGCAGTGTTTCATTTTGTTGTACATAGGTTTGTTATGAGTCAGAACTGGCTTGACAGCACCTAACTGCAACAAATTTTAAAGCTGAATTCTTTTAATATGCACATCTAGCCCTGCAAATTGTCATTTAATTGTCACTTAAATGATAGAGAAACTTATTTAAAAGCCAAAGAACATCAATCATCTCATTATCTCCAAATTGGCACGCATTGGGTTTCACATGTAGGCCAGATTTCTGGACCAGAGAATGGTATCAGGGTGCCCCAGATGTGTTTCATGTTTCATAAAAACTAACAAAGCATTGACCAGTTATTTAAAAGTGTTTTATAGCATTCATTAGTCAAACAGGAGTACAGTTCTTCTGCAGTGACAGAATCTTTTGCTCTGTCTTTGGGAAGTAACTGTATTTGACAATATTCCTTATCTAGATCTACAGTGCCCCACCCACCCACCCTTTTAGCAGACTGCCAAGCCTCTGCCATAGTACAGTGAGTCCTGGGCATGGGCTGAAAATCTTGTTGATTCATTTTTCAGTTGTCAACAGAAAATTCTACTGTTGAAATCTAGATAAAACATAAAGTAGAGGGTAAGAGCACGATCTAGGTTCAAATCCTTTTTCTATGACCTACTTGCAGTGTTGCCATTAGACTTATTTTTGACTCACAGCAACCCCATGTCACAGAGCTGAACTACCCCATAGGGTTTTCTTGGCTATAATCTTTATGGAAGCAGATCACCAAGTCTTTCTGCTGGAGAGCTACGGGGTGAGTTCAAACCTCGAACCTTTTGGTTAGCGCTTAACTGTTTTTGCTGCAAGGGTTCCTTACTAGCAGTGTGCCCGTGATCAAATCAGTAAGTTTCCCGGTACCTCTATTTTTCATCTTTAAAAAGGATAATAATAGTACTCATTTCCTAGTGTTATTGGAAGAATTAAATGAAATACCTCAAGTAGACACACGCCCTGGAGAGAACAATCATGGGAGAAGGAAGGGCTGCTTATGCACAGGGAGATAGCTCAGGGTGCAGAAGAGTATGAAGGGATGGACACTGGGAGGAGGTAACTATGGGGAGGAAGTGGGAGGGGAGCTGCTGCATTGTAAATTTTGGTCAATGACATGAGACAAAGTATATGTGAACTGCTGTATGAAAAGTGAATTTACTCTGTAAATCTTCACCCAAATCCTAATAAAAAAAAAAAAAGAATTAAATGAAATAAATATTCTAGTCACTTATAACAGTGCTAGGTACAGAGTACATATCAGTTATTGTTCATTATACATGGAGTGGGACCCGCACATTGGTATTTCCAGTAAGTGTCACAGACGTGTTTGGCAACTGCTGAACAGGCAGCAATCAGTTCAGTGCCAGAGGCGGTGGAGGCGGTTAGGAGGCATCCACCATCCTTCCTGATTATCAGGTGTCTGATTTTTATCTGCAAAGTTGTTTCAACCTGTTATCTGCTACATAATTAACTTGGAACTTGTGCTAATAATACTCTTGGCAAAATTTCAACACCTTATAAACTGCTTCCTTATATTCATGGAAAATGAATATGCAGTATTTCAGCACAACTTTCTGACTTCTGTTAAGGCAAGCCACAGCTGTGGTTGACCATTATATTTTTATAGCCAAGCATGATGCCTGGCAAACAGTTGGGTACCTTATATATTTGTGTTTACTAAATAAGTCCCAGAGGAGCAGATTGCTTTGACTAGCTGCTTGGACATGTGTGGACCTGGAAGCCTTCATTCTCACATTTTCTACAATTATACAGTTGCAGAGCTTGAGGTATTATAAACCTCTATTAATTGCTGGTTAAATATTTCATGCTGGTTTCCTTGGGATTTTGCCTTATCTGGCTTTTGGTCTCTACCACTCCTTTGCTTGTTATTTGGAGTCCTTTTCTTTCTCTGTGAATTTTTCTGTAGTTTATTGTGGGTGTCATATAGTATAAAATGGGCCCAACCCCTTTTCGATTCCACCATTGCCCCTAGGTATGCAAGAAGAAACTGGGGACTCATTTTCTTTTTCGTGTGATAGGACCCAGGGATTCAATATGTCTTCTTCTCAGATACCACCACTTACATTTTCCTGCCTCTGCTACTCTCTCAAGGAGTCCAGGTGGTGCAATGGTTAACACTTAGCCATGAACTGAAAGACTGGAATTTCAAACTCACCAGCCCCTCCACAGGAGAAAAGACTTGGCCACCTGTTTTCCTAAAGATCATAGCCTAGGAAACTAATTCATGGGACTAATAGCCCATATGAACCAAAGCCTTATCTAACTTGAAACCAGAAGAACTAGATGGTATCAGGCTACCACTACTCACTGTCCTGACCAGAGACACAAGGGCCTTGTGATACTCTGTCCTGTAAGATCACTGAGTCAGAATTGACTACATGGTACATGACAACAACAACAAAACACATTCCTCTTTTTCTGTCCTACCTGCCAAACAGGTAATGCCAGGATTCTCACTTGCCACCTCCTTGCTGTTGTTCTAGTTTCTAGTCCACAAGACATTTAATTTCACTGTTATTATTCTTGTTATCCTCACTAACCTCACCTCAGACCAATGGTAGAAAAGGTGCTAAAAAATGTGGTACGTATTATCTTGATTTTCATGCTCCAATATTACTTTATGAACGAAATAGCTTGAAAAAAGTTAAGTCCCTTATGAAATGCTGAGGATTTAGTAAGTATTTGATGTAAGGAAATAACTTTTAAAAGTCATTAGTCAAAATGAATTTTAACAATCCTTAAAGCATACCAAAGCAATGATTTTCAAACTTCAGTGTGCAGAGGCACACTGTTTTGCAAACAGGCATATCTTGACTCATTAATCTGGGATGGGGCCAAGATACTGCGTTTTTCTCAAGTCCCCAGGGGATTCCACTGCTCAAGTGACACTACATTTTGAATAGTAAAGTTCTAAAGTGTATCTGTGAAGACACCATGTGGACACAATATAATATAAAAGGTGGCATACTTAATAAATGTCA